ATTGATCCGTTGGTGAAGGACATACCAAATACATGCATTCACCTGGATGCACCACTGATGTACACCTACATACCTTGGATGTAGCTCTGCAAAGACTGTCAGATTCCGGGCTTGTTTAAAAGTGTGAACTCTTTGTTCCAAGCATACGTCACCTTGCATACCGAGATGGGCTACGCCCATCAGAAGAAAAGACTAGGGCACTACTTAATGCACCGCACCCAAAAATATGAAGGAGTTGCTATCGTTTCTGGGAGTGGTCACGCAGTTTTCTCGATTCGTACCATCAGCGGCAACCATTTGCACCTGCTTGATCAACTCGTAAGTAAAAACTAACATTGGAATCGGAACAGAGTTCAGGAGGGTTTTTAACGCTATTAAGAAACTTTTGGCCTCCGTCGAACTTTTGTGCATTACGACTGACGGAAGCCCACTGCTTTCTTGCGATGCTTCACCCTACGGTCTCGGCGCTGTATTATTGCACAAACTTCCGAACGGCTCTCATCGATCTGTTGCTTATGTTTCACGAAGCTTGACGGCACCAGAACGTAATTACTCTCAGCTCGATCGTGAGGCGGCCGCGGTTGTTTTCGGTACTATTCCGTTTCATCAATAACTACTCGGTAGACGTTTTATGATTTACACAGACCATAAACTTCTAGTGTCACTTTCTGACCATGAAGAAGGGATTCAGCAAATAGCTTCACCCATCAGGCCATGATTCTCTCGGCATATACACATCAAACTCAACATGTCCCTGGCCGGCAAAATATCACTGCTGATGCCCTCAACCGGCTTCCTTTACCGGAAGCACCTACGGAAGAATTTGCTCCACAGGAATTCGTGAATCTGATCCAGCACTTTAACAATTCTCCTGTTACCTCAACAGTTATACACAGAGAAACCAATAGAGATCCTATTTTAACAATTGTCAAACGCTACCTTCAGGTCGGGTGGCCAGAAAATACGAGCAAGGAACTCATGCCCTTTCGTAACAGATTGACCGAACTGTCTCCATAACAGATGTATACTATGGGGAGCCCGAGTTGTAGCCTCCATAAGCTACGACCAGTTATCCCGGACGAACTGCATGTTGCAAATCCTGGAGTCGCTAGCCCGCTTTTATGCATGGTGGCCTGATTTAAACAGGGACAGTGTGTCGAAAATTGGAGGCTGCGTGTCTTGTCGGGAGAATCGGAACGCTGTGTCGCATGTGCCAATACAAGCATGGAAGTGGTCAGAAGCACCACGTAAACGTGTTCACGCAGACGTTTTTTGGCCCTTTCGAAGGACAGATGATCTTGTTGATCACTGATGCTCACGTCCTCATTACAACAAGTTCAGCTAACACAATAGTTTAACTTTTTACGACGTTTGCAACCTTTGGTCTTCCGGGAACACCAGTGTCAGCTAGTGGAACAGCGTTTACTAATGCTTAATTTTTTTACCTTTCTTACCTCGAATAGCATTAGACACGTAACTACTGCGCCTTATCATCCATCATCAAACAGTTTGGCTGAGTTGTGCAGTGAAGAACACGTTACTGAAGCAACCAGCAGTCCCATAGCGCATGCGTTTAAACAGTGTCCTTATCGCTTATAGAAACATGGCAAACGAAATCACCGGTGGAAGCCCCACGGAATAAGTGTTCGGCCCTCGGTTGCGTACACTGTTGGATTTACGGCAGAGCGCCCGTGGTTGGAAGGTTTGCAGAAAACAAGAACGCCTAAAGGAACGCTCTGATACCGCCAGCAGGGACAAGCTCGTAGAAGAATATGATCCCATCTAGGTCTATCTACCTATAGGCTCGGGTGGCAACCGGCCAATGCTGAAACAACCAACGGGTAAATCACTGAAGCATAATTGTTAGACGCCACTTAGAATATGTGCAACTGAGACCGTCGACCTCAGAAACAACCGGTGAGTCAGAAGTGCGGGCACCAGCGCTGATCCATTCACAAGTGGCCGATCCTGTTTCACCGCACCAAATGCCTCTACTTCGCTCTACGCCAGCCACTGGATCGATTCTAGGCCGAAGAGTTCAAACCAGAGAGAAGGGGTAATATGCTGTGTCAAGCGCTCGCCACTTGTGTGCGTACGCGTACGTTTACTCCGGATACTGGCCGCCTGCAATAACCAATGATTGGTGACTTTGATTCAGCGGCCAAGTGACTCGGAACCTTGGAATGACTTGCGCCGCCTTTTGGTGTACAGTTGTTCTTGTCGTGTATATGAATAACCGCCTCACTACGCAGCCATGTTATCGAAAAGCAGGTAAATATTCGGATTTGACAGCTTAGCTTTTAGATCCTCACAATTGATTATCACGACGTTGTCCCAGAGTTTTTGTCGAAATGCGATATCACTCGGGGCTTATGTTGGAACTCTCAGCGATAGCTATCTCGTGTTCTCACTTAATAACTGTGGATATCTGGAATAGCAGACTACGATATCACTGCTGGCAAAGGGGCTGCAGTGCGTATTTCGGCAGGGTTTCTCCTTGAAAAGTATTAATCAAGTAGTTGACTTCGGTGTGACAGCAGTGAGCAGTTTCAAGCATACGGCGCAGTGTCGCTTTATTGCCAAACAAGCGCGACAAGAGTTGTCTCGAATCAATGAGGTGCTGTGCAACACCGGGTCAGTTTTCCTGGAATTGTATAACGCAGGGACAGATTAGCACAGGCTGTCAGCCGCTTCGCGCTTTGCTTTGCACCCTCGAAGTACAAAGCGTTCCTCCAAGATTGGCAGGGATCGCCTCCTTCGCTGACCCTTGGTGGCGATCAGCTAGAAGTCGCTCAAAAATTCAACTACCTGGGAAGTTGTATCAGCGCCCGTGGGATTGAAGATGTGATCACGTACCGTATATCAAAAGCTCGAGGCGCTTTTGCTAACCTTCGCCATTTATGGCGCCGGCGCGAGATTACTCTTGCGTACAACGCAGAAGTACGTTCGACCCTACTGTACGGTTGTGAAACCTGGCCCCTAAGATCATCGGACATAAAGAGACTAGTTACGTACAACCACCGGTGCTTTCGCAATTTAGCTCACATCTGGTGGGAAGACCGAGTGAGCAACGAGCGTGTTTGATGCCTTGTTAACCGCACAAGAAAAGGAACTGAACCGCCCAGTACTGTTATTTCACGCACCAGGCTCCGATGGCTCGGCCACGTGTCACGCAGGCCAGCCCACCGAATCCCGTGACGTGCGTTGTTTGCTCGCCAAAGGTGTGGACGGAAGAAGAGGAGGGGTGGCCAAGCGACGACTTGGTCCAGAGGAATGAAGGCCCTCACTTCGAAGCTGGCCTCAGTTGGAGCTTCACGACTCCCTGGTTGGGGTCCGAAAGACGATGAACACGTTTGGCTGGATACACTTGTTGATATGGTTAGGAGCCGACCTCAGTGGCGTTCGTGCTGTGAGTTTCTTTGTCCCACCCCATCCCTCTTAGCCTCCCCCTCCAAGTACGATCTCATTATTTAACATTTTATAATTTTGCATAGTAAATTATTTTTTTCTGCTGCATAGTAGGCGGAAGGTAGCATACCGGAACGATGCCTATCCGTTACCGGTAGCTCAGTTGGCTTGCACCTGTTGCATTTTATTCCCTTTTTCCTTTTAGGTATTACGGCACAGTAGCTGAGGTGTTTCCCATCTCTAGCTAACGTGTATAGTGTGTGTGAGTGTACGGGCTAAACCACATCTGGAGTTTTGTTCAGGGTTGAGTGCCTATCTCAGTGATGACGTTATTCGTATAGGAAAGATACAAAAACTAGCACAACCAGGAAGTTCAACGTGGAAAGCCGTATGGTAATCGTCCAAGGAGGTTAGGTTTGTTGTCCTTGGAACAGCGTAGATTGAGGCGATCTGATAAACATTTAGGATTATGTAGGACCTCCGTAGCATTAAACCTAACCCTGTTCGAGCTAGCTACTTCAGATCATCTGCGCAGACATCGTTTGAAATTCAAACCAAACCGGGTTCTAGTGAGCGAAATATTTTAACGAATATCCTTCTGATTTTATAGAATTTGAGACTGTAGTAGCCTTCAAAAAAGGGCAGATAGGTGTTGGCCAGATGTTTTCCTGGAACTAGTGTAATTGTGCTGGAACCTACAGCAGTGACACCTCGTGTAATGAAATCTGGTACAGATTCACGAGGGTTCAAAAATTGCTCTCATTCTTGTTTCACTTCTTTCGCAAAACCATGAAGTCCGGATACTCCCTTTAGGGGATATCTGGACATCATTTAGCAAATAAAAGGTCCACTGAGATTACTATTACCGAATGATTGTGAACGACGAGTAAATCACTCGTTCCTACGAGTTCAAACTAATAATCATCATTTTTATAGATCAGCTCAACAAATGTCAATGTAGTTACACTTTGAGGCATTTTTGACAGCCCTCCGCGCGCGTGTGTGTGTGTGTGATTGTATAGAACAACCGTGGTTGACTGTAGTAAAGTACCATAAAACGAAGGTGAGCATGACACAAACAGGAAAAGGAACAGTGCAGAAGAAAAAACGCAGCCATTCGACCTCGGAACATGTGCCATCACGATCATAGCGACAGCTCACAACACCAACCGCGGAGGAGGGATAAATCAACTAACCTTAGGGGACCTAACATATTATGCGTGCATTTTAAGTTTTTAATATGATGGAAAAGAATGTAGTGTGGAGATTTGATATACAGATAAACAAGGTGGAGTCAGTCGTTGACTAAATGCGACATAAGACAGTACAAGATCCAAGTCACGTATGCGACACAAAGCACCATAAAGGAGAACAATAATGCGGGGGAGATACAAAGATCCCATTCATATTGTCGTCCCCTGATATCGCACATTCCCAGTAGAATAAAAGCGGTAGCTGCTGTGATTGTGTATTCCGAAAGACATACTTCCTAAATGGATGTGCTAGTTCTATCCTCTAGCTCAGATATACGAAATTCGTCGCGGACAGTGGCCTCGATCGCAGGAATTTTATCCTCAAAATAAGAAGCATACCAACGTAGGTGCTCCAACTTTTGCTCAACGGTAAAGTGAGGATTTTGTGCCAGTCCGTGGCAGACTAGATCCATGAATGTGGCGAGGGGTCGGCAGTTAAGGAGCCGTTGGTCTACGTGTTTCTTCAGAAACACGTGTTCGTGGAACGGTACCTGCTGTTCTTCCCAGTCTGAAAACAAAAAAAATGTGGAAGCTGTAAGTATCGTTTTGGAGTTAAATGGGATTCTACAAGCTTGATAGCTCAAAATCCAGCTGTCGGATTCGAGTAATGATGCAAATACACAATTGCGCTCTAAAACAGCCTGGTTTACAGATCCTTTGAACAACGATGAGCGATGGCGCGCGAGTGTCTTCTGAGCAGTTCCAACACACCGCTCAACACCTTGTCTCCAGATTGCTTAAAACGAATCGAAGTTTATATTCGCTGGAATATAATGTGGCACTATTATTTACCTCCGTGTCGGTGCTATACAAAAAATCCACGTGTATGGTGTGTACTGACTAGATTTGGGATTGCACGGTAGTTCAGTAATCAAGTACCAGTTCTCTCATCAGCTGGGGTTTAGCGACCCGAATAGCCTCACTTCCAAAAGGCACTAAGCGATGCACAATCATCGAGATCCTAGCGAATCGCAGATTAAGAATGGAATCTGTATGCATAATGTTCTAGGGCTCGTATGACTTCAAACAGGACTTTGATCGGTTTTCAGCGGCCTAGCGCTCGTTGCACAGGCCTTTGGGTAGAATAGTCAATTATTACCCACGAGTTATCCTTACCAGATTACGCAAATGCATTCTTATCCGCAAACCTCGGAAGCTAACTGCGAGAATGTTTGCACACTAGTTGTCAATAAGAAGGCAAAAACGACGAAGTTACGGACTGAGGCCTCCAATGGCTGAGTGCACTATTCAAAGCTACTTTGATCACGGTAAAAAAAAACGCAAACGAACCCATTGTAGAGATACTGGTTACAGCATACTTTGCAATTAGCCTCTGGTGTTGGATTTTAAGCAAACCTTCCCAGTTCGTCAGAAAAAATACTTGTTGAACACGTAACACAGACTGACCGACAGCAAGAAGATGGCTTAATTTGACAGCATCACTTGAAAGAGAGAACAATTACTAATTTGATCAACCTCTACTGCTCAGCATAATTTTTGAATGAAAATTTGGGATATCCTTGTGTAAAGTTTTTTGTCATTGGTTCCAACAGTAGAGCACAAGTTAACCGAAAGAGACCGCCGCAAGGATGCAGCCGTTACGTTGAAGCTATATGATGAAGAGGTTCGTCTCCAGACGATCAGAACGCAAACACGCTGTAACTGGGCACCGTCAGAGGATAAAGAGATGAAATGTATCACGAAGCTACGATTAGGAGAAGTCGATGAGTGATATGAGGTATGTGAACACAAAACACCAACACTGTCGACAAACAGTTTATATAATCCGTGGTCGAAGTCGACTGATGGCGAAAGCCGTGGGCTGGTATCAGTAATCAATCTTCTTTGAGCAGGCAACGAACAACGTAAAGGCTAGTGGATTGGTTGGTGCGATGTTACTCCTGCGATTAGGTGGCCGCAAGAGTTTATACGTGGACCGATCGACCATTACTAGTTGTTATCTCGTAGCAGTGTGTGTTCAGTCTTTGAAGGTATTCGGCATAAGCCCACCAAACAGTGTTTTCTTAGCATCTGAGTCCGATTTAAACAGTTATGTTTTCGGTATACTCTGAACCAAGTGGCTGATTATCCGACAGAGGCCGGACCCCACCAGAAGTTTAAAGCAGTTTGGGCACTCGTAATCATTTGGACCGCAGTGAAATATAGCAACAGGGCAGCCCTGAGCCCAGTTGATGCACAAAACCCGCAGAATACTTTTGACTGGCCGTGCGTATTGCCACGATTCCTGTGGCACAGGGAATCCGGCTATTTAAGTTCGTGCAGCCGGGCACGAAGCAAACCTCGCCTTGAAGAGGGCCATCATGATGGGTGGAGTGCATGTAAAGAGCCGTATGCACATTCAACGAAGTGTAAAAACGTGACTACAAGGCTGGCCACCGTGATTCGGCAATCAGAGATCAGAGCTGGAGAAAGAAACGACTACGCGCTTGCCATGAAATCTGGTTCACTGGTTCGTATTCGCGTAGATGCTGGCGACCACGGAATGTGCACAACCCAGGCGCGACCAGGGTGGCCACGCGGCAGAAAGTGTCGGTAAGGTGTGCTGGTGTATTTCTGATGCCTTGCTGAAGCAGAAAAGGAAATGTCACAATCCATTCGTCACCCAAAGCCCGATTCAACCAGCATAAATAAGAACAGCTAACGTCCCAAGGAGTTCCACAACAAACGGATGTTGATGAGACAAGAACTCACATAGAAAGAGAGTGGAAATGCGTCACTGCAATGATCGAGAAACAGCAGACGGCTGTACGATCTGATATTGATGACTCAAGGTTCTCACTAGCACATCGGTTGATAGCACATATTGGCATAATTCCGTCCTTTATGTAAGAAATATTATTATTATGGCATACGTTGGCTAGAAGTGAGAAACATCTCAGATATTGTGCTGCAATACATAAGGAAATAAAAAAGACACGGCAAAAGCACCCCAGCTAAAACAACAGTAACGTACGGACATCGTTGAGGAGAGCTACCGGCCGGCTATTGTGCCGCAAAAAAGGATCGTATTATGTCTAGAAAAGGAGACCATGGTTAGAGGAGGTGGAAAGACGAAGGTACTCATAGACAATCGCCATTGAGGACGACTCCTAGCCATGTCAACAAGTGTATCTAGTCAAACGTGTTCACTGTCTTTCGGAGCCCAACCAGGGAGCCAACAGGCTCCAACCGAGTCCAACTTCGAACTAAGGGCCTTCATTACTCTGGGCCAAGTCATCGCCTGACCACCCCTCATCTTATTCCATCCACACCCCCGGCACGCAATCAACGCACGTCGCTGGAGTCGGTGGGCTGGCATGCGCAATAACTGGCCCAGTCTTCGGAGTCTGGTACGTGAAATAACGGTGTTAAGCGGTTTATCACGTTTTCCTGCGCCATAAATAGGACGTCGAACATGCTCGTTGCTCACACGGTGTTCCCACCAGATTTGAGACAAACTGCGAAAAAGCCGGCGGCCGAACTTAACTACTCTTTATATCGGCTGCTCTAATGGACCAGGATTCACAACTGTACAGTAGGGTCGAATGTACGGCTGTATTGTACACTCTACTCTTCAAAGAGAGAGTGATGTTGCGCCGGCACCATAGATGGCGAAGGTTAGCAAAAGCGCCTCGTGCACTTGCTATACGGTTCATGACCTCGTCTACAATTCCAACCGCGGTAATACAACTGCATAGGTAGTTGAACTTTTGAACGACTTCTAGCTTATCCAAACCAAGGGTCAGCGCAGGAGGTGATCCCTGCCAATCTTGGAGGAAAGCCTTGTACTTCGAGGGTGCAAAGCATAGCCCGAAACGGCAGACAGCCAGTGCCAATCTGTCCAGTACCGTTTGGCACGTTTGGGAGCTCTCACAGATGAGGGCAATATCGTCAGCGGACTCCAAGTCAAGAAGTTGTTCACCTGGGAGCAAGCGAACATCTTCGAAATCGTGTCCAGTGGACGCGGTCTCCATGACTAGGTCAATAGCGAAGTTGGAGAGGAAAGATGACAGCGGGTATCCCTGTCTTCTACCGCTGGAGCTATTGCGGGGCGGCGACAAATTTCCGTAAGCTCTCAAACTGCCCGAGCTATGCGCGTAAAGCGCTTGGGTAATATTTGCATAGTTCTAGGGCACATCTTTCTTTAGCAGCTACTTCCGAAGGGCACGTAGATTATCGGTATTCAAGGCACACTTGATGCCGAGGAACACGACTACGGTGGGTCGCAAATATAGGTGATGGCGCTCCAAATATTGATGTAAAGTAAAGACATGGTCGATGCAGTCCCGACCTCGACGAAACTCGGCTTTTTCTTCAAGAATCTGGCTTTCACAAGTGCCTGTCAGTCTGTGAAGGATAACAGAGGTAAGCAATTTGGAGGCGATAGGGATCAGACTGGTTCCTCTATGGTTGCCGTATTCCGAATGCGAGCGTCCTTTGAAGATCGGGAACACAACTGAGCGGCTCCAGTCGGTTGGGACAGTCTCCTGCTCCCGCAACTTCACTAGTAATTCGCGTGAATCATCAACAAAAGCAGAGCCCCGTATCTCAAGAGAGTTGGAGAAAGACCAAGTGGTCCCGCGACCCTATTCAATTTCAGTAGTCCGATCTCACGTTGGAATTCTGAGCGAGAGAGCGGATCGATAGGTACAGCCATAGAGCAGGGCGATCACTGACCGATGATAAATACAACAAGCCCGCATGATTCAATTACATTTCAAAGTGCTCAGCCCAATGCTCCAAGTGGTTTGACAAATTGTGGATAGGCAGTCCATTCGCGCCACATCCAGTTTAACTAACAACAGGTCTCCTGCTGCCTGTTTCCCATATCAGACGGAACAAGTTCAGATAATTACCAAAAGCAGCGGCCACTTCTATCTCTGACGCACAATGAGATCACCAGGATTCGCGGTCTCTCTTCACGCTAGCACACAATTTTGCTCCGAGGTCTTTGCGAGTGTTCGCTTTCAGTCGGAGTGTACCGACGAGCACCGATAAATGCCAGAGACTGCGTAAAGACCTAATGTCCATGTCAGCTATCAGATTTACAACATGAAGATTCGCCTGCTGCTAATAAGGCCTGAAAAAATGCGACCAGTGACTTTCAACTGTATTCAGTGAGCGCCTACTCAATCAGAATGCCAGCATACTTCAATACGCATTCAGAATAACAGGTTTCGCCAACTGGCTGGTATCTATGAGCTCACAGCGTCCTCGAGGGTATCCGCCAAAACGCACCCACGGATCAGCACATACAAGTGTATGGTCATTATGTACGTTCGTGCCTCAAATCGAGCAAAAAACAAGTCATTAACAGTACGCAGGCACACTGTACCTGCCACGCGACCAAATCGAGCGACAGCTTTGAAAGCAGCCTCTCCAGCGGTAACCGACCGCGGTGTGATCGATTTGTGTCTAAGGCTGTTGGGCGCCATGCCACTCCTTGGTGAGTGCTGTGTGGGAATTTAGTGCCCGCAAGAAATAAGCGAGCATTTTCACACAAATGAA